AAGTAAAAATTTTAACTCACACCATAGTTAGAAGTTAATTAAATATCTAAATGTGAAAGAATTATAATCTAGAAGAAATGTAGGACCAGTGTAGGAATCGGAAAGGTTTCCTTAAATTTTATATATAAAGCACAATCTATGTAGGAAAAGATTAATGTTTAGAATATGTAAAGAACGCCTACAGAATCATAAGAAAAAGACAAATAGCCCAAAGGAAAATGGCCAAGACAATGAACTGACAAGAGGTGAAATGTGAATACTTAGTAAACATAGGAACAGATGCTTATATCAATTTGCATGGGTTTAACTATGAGTATCTTAAAACTTCAGCGGACTTAAAGCCTAAGGACATTTATTTTATTTTATTTTATTTTTTTTTGAGACGGAGTCTCGCTCAGTCGCCCAGGCTGGAGTGCAGTGGCGCAATCTCGGCTCACTGCAAGCTCCGCCTCCCGGGTTCACGCCATTCTCCTACCTCAGCCTCCCCAGTAGCTGGGACTACAGGCGCCCGCCACTGCGCCCGGCTAATTTTTTTCTATTTTTTTTTTTAGTAGAGACGGGGTTTCACCATGGTCTCGATCTCCTGACCTTGTGATCCGCCCGCCTCGGCCTCCCAAAGTGCTGGGATTACAGGCGTGAGCCACCGCGCCCGGCCCAGGACATTTATTTTACTGCTTGATAAGAAGTGTAGAGGTAGGAAATTCAAGAGTTGGTTTCAGTTCTGTGAACATAGTAAGCGTTCTATGCCAGCTTAAAAAAATAATTCTCTTGAATTTTCTAACTGTTGGGAGGAAGGGGGAGAGGAGGAGAAAGGGCACTCTTCCTCCCACACCTTCTGTAGGAGGTGTAGAAGAGAGAAAAATATTTCCAGAAGCTTCTAGATTTTCCCATCTGTCCTCATTGCCAGTCACTGGCAGAGCAGAATGAAATTACCTGATTGGCTTAATTAGGATTCCTTCCCTGGACTGGGGAAGGGCTGGCTTTCTCTTAGTATATTATTTCCTGCCCAATTCCCAAGCAAAATTGAGTCTGAGCAAAATTGAGTCTTTCTGTTGGCCAGTGTATTAGTTCATTCTCACACTGCTATAAAGAACTACCAGAGACTGTGTAATTTATGATATAAATTTTATGAATAAAAGAGTTTTAATTGACTCATAGTTCTGTGGGCTGTACAGGAAACTTGGGTGGGAGGAGGCCTCAGGATATTTACAATAATGGCAGAGAGCAAAGGGGAAGCAAGCATGACTTACCATGGCGGGGCAGGAGAGAGACAGCAGAAAGAGGGAGGTGCCACCCCCCCCCCCTTTTTTTTTTTTTTTGAGATGGAGTGTCGCTCTGTTGCCTAGGCTGGAGTACAGTGGGGTGATCTCGGCTCACTGCAAGCTCCATCTCCCGGTTGCCACCCACTTTTAAACCTCCGGATGTCATGAGAATTCACTCATGTGACAGCACTAGGGGGATGGTGCTAAACTATTAGAAACCACCCCCATGATCCAATCACCTCCTGCCAGGCCCCTCCTGCAATACATGGGGATTCCAATTCAAAATGAGATTTGGATAGGGACACAGAGCCAAACCATATCAGCCAGAAGGATGGCTTATGGTTATCAACCTTCCACTAATATAGATTGAACCATATGATATTGACAATAATAATGTGAATATATGAAATATATTCTAATCACATAGAATATGAAATATATAATATATAAATAACATGAAATGTATAAAATATAAATATATAAACACAAGTGTTTAAAAACACACATTGAAAAGTATATAATAAGCATGATAAAACAAACATTGAATTTATGTAATAGTATCTCTGGGGAAGCAAAGAGGGGACCCTATAGGATTGAGGGAGAGAGTTCAACTGTATTCATATATTTAATTTTCAACAGTAAAAAAGCAAATATCTGAACTGAAAAAAGTAAATGACAATGCATTTTTTTTTTAACCTCTTTGTAAAGCTTATAAATGTGCACAGAATGGCCACAAGGATTTTGGTTGAAAATGAAAATTGATAGAGGGCAATTTGGCAACATGGGAATTTTAAATTTATACCCTCCGATGTAGTACTACTGCTTTGAGGCATTTATCTTAAATGGATAGGACAGATGTACAAGGAAATTTATTTTGACTTTTTTTTTTTTTAGTAATGGCAAAAATGTTTTAAAAATATTTTTATAATGGCTGTGTTAGTCCGTTCTTGCATTGCTATAAAGAACTGCCTGAGCCTGGGTAATTTATAAAGAAAAGAGGTTTAATTGACTCACTGACTCACAGTTCTTCAGGCTTGTGCAGGAAGCATGGCTGGGGAGGTCCCAGGAAATTTACAGTCATGGTGAGAGGTGAAGGGGAAGCAGGCATGTCTTATATAGCCAGGGAAGGAGGAAGAGGAGAGCAGGAGGAGGTGCTCCACACTTTTAAACAACCACATCTTGTGAGAACTTACTGTTACCAGAACAACAAGAGGGAAATCTGCCTCCATGATCCAGTCACCTCCCACCAGGCCCCTCTTCTAATACTGGGGATCACAATTTGACATGAGATTTCGGTGGGGCCACAAATCCAAACCATATTTTTCAGTCCCTGGCCCCTCTAAAATCTCATGTCCTTCTCACATTTCAAAATACAATCATGCCTTCCTAACAGTCCCCAATAGTCTTAACTCATTCCAGCATTAACTCAAAAGTCTACAGTTCAAAGCAAAGCAAGTCCCTTCTGCCTGTAAAATCAAAGCCAGTTAGTTTCAGGATACAATGGGTGTACAGGCATTGGCTAAATACTCACATTCCAAAAGGGAGAAATCAACCAAAACAAAGGGCCTGCAGGCTCCATGAAAGTCCGAAACCCAGCAGGGCAGTCATTACATCTTAAAGTTCCAAAATATGTCCCTTGACTCCATGTCTCACATCTAGGCCACACCAATGCAAGGGGTCGGCTCCCAAGGCCTTGGGCAGCTCCAGCCCTGTGGCTCTGCAGGACTCAGCTCCGATGGCTGCTCTCAAGGGCTGGTGCTGATTAGGGAAATGGAAGTTTGCACTCAGGCTTTATTCAGATCCATAGAGAAGGAGAATAATTCAACCTTTCTGGGTCAGGACAGCACTTATGGCCCAGTGGAAGAGTAGCGCTGTGATGGTAGGGGGAAGGAAGTTGAAGTCAGAGAATTAAAACCTAACATCCGTAAAGTTCTGCAGGTATTTAAAAAACAAAACCAAGAACCCTGGTGAGATGCTGACAATTTACTTGAGCATGTACCCTGTGCTTTTACTGATCTAATTACTAATACAAAATTGACCTTTTCACCTAAAATTATCAGCTTAATTTGAAGGATATTTTCCATGGAAACCTCATTCTGACTTTATGATACATATCTGTAGAAATGTATGCTTTACTTTGCAGACTTTTTCTTAGAGCCTGCTTTTCTGGAATGAATGAATTTCTGTAGATAGCATGGAACATATCTCTTGAGATAAATTTCTTTTTTCCCCCTTACTCTTTTCCGTGTGGTTTTTATTTGTTTGATGTATGCACACAATGGAGGAAGATGTGACGCTTTTACTGTCTTTTATTTTTATTTAAGATGCCATTTTTCTAACAATATTACACAGTCATAGTAGAGGTAGTGATACCTAATACAATTTAAAGTGGGAAAGAATCAGTAATTAAGATTCTAGCTTGTGAAGATAAAAATGCTAATGTATTTGCAGTTTCCTTTTATAACCCGTTGCAATTTAGTTTGTAATTCTACCACTGTACTAAAACTGTTTAAAATTACCAGTGGCCATTTTTTTCTTCTCCATTGATCTCATTAAATCCTCATGATACTGGACTTTGCGTAATGTTGTTGTTCCTTGACTTCCATGATGTTGTACTTTCTTAATATTTCTTACCTTTCTAAGTGTTTGCCTCATCCTTAGACTGCTTGAGACTCTGGCTCCCCCAAACTCCCATTTTTGTCTGAAAACTGATACTTCTTATAAAATTCTGGTTTTATATTGCCAAGTGCTTATATTCCCACTCATTTGCCGTATTGTTTCCTCAAACTCAATGAATCCAAGCTTGAATTGTTTCAGTTCACCACCCATTTCATATTGTTTGACCAGTAGCCCCAAGAATAGATATTTTGGCATCATCTTTAGTTCTTCCTTTTCAAAATTCCCTTTGACCAAGCATTCACCACGTATTTCTCATACCCATACATTCACCCCCAATTTCCCTAATATAGTGCTGTGTGTTGTGATTTGTCTTAGATTCGGTTATTGGCAGTATTTATTTATTTATTTATTTTTATTTTATTTTATGGTATTTTATTTTATTTTACTGAGATGCAGTCTCGCACTATTGCCCTGGCTGGAGTGCAGTGGTGTGATCTCAGCTCACTGCCACCTCTGCCTCCCAGGTTCAAGTGATTCTCGTGCCTCAACCTCCCAAGTAACTGGGATTACAGATGCCTGCCACCACATCTCACTCATTTTTGTATTTTTATTAGAGATGGGGTTTCACCATGTTGGCCAGGCTGGTCTTGAACTCCTGACCTCAGGTGATCCGCCCACCCCGGCCTCACATGGTGCTGTAAGGGTGTAAGCCACTGCACCTGGCCTATCAGCAGTATTTAAATAACCTTCGTTTCTATGAATGTAGAGATGAGTTTCTATATACAGTTTTGTCTTGTGAAGCATGAGGGGAAAGTGACTTCCTGGATAAGTCTTGTCATATTTATTCTGTGTTTCTAGCACTGTTGCACAGCACATATTAAGTGTTTAGAAAACGTGTTTTTGAATGAACAGCCCAAAGACTAAAGGAAGAGCTTCCTTAGTTTTAATTCTGTGAAATGAGTCAGTTTGAATGAAGCTAATGTTTCTTTTGTTTTACTCCATTTACTATAGAGTGCAGTACTTCAGTTGTTCATTCTTGTTGATATTGTTACAGATACTCTAATGGTTCTTTTTACAAAATCAAATCTATATACAAGACATTTTTCCCTTTCTTTTTAGGTTTTGGAAGGAAGGATGTTGTAGAACACTTACTACAGATGGGTGCTAATGTCCATGCTCGTGATGATGGAGGTCTCATCCCACTTCATAATGCCTGTTCTTTTGGCCATGCTGAGGTTGTGAGTCTGTTATTGTGCCAAGGAGCTGATCCAAATGCCAGGGATAACTGGAACTATACACCTCTGCATGAAGCTGCTATTAAAGGGAAAATCGATGTGTGCATTGGTAAGTGGCATTTGATAATATCTGAATTTTAAATAAAGGTTTATTCTTATGGTTTTTTGTAGTATAAATAGTGTTTTCTCAGAATAGGTAAGGAGGGGTTTATTGCTTCTTCTAGAAGCAGTTCTTTTCCATCAAAAGGTAAATAGAGAGATGGTAATCTAAAGTTACTTAGGGGAAGATTCACAACATTAACCTTCCAAACGCAGTCAAATGCCAGCTGATGTGAAACTCAATTTTGATGGATTACTGTTGTCAGATTTAGTTAATTTATAGTCTCTTTTAAAGACTGGACATTTTCTATCTTACCATCAATGACAGCCATTATAAAGTACAAATTCTACTGAGTTGGATGACATGTGAACACTTGAGGTTGATTAAAGGAAACTCATCTAGTACAGTAGTCCCCCTTATATGGGGTTTTGAGTGTTTTGAATACAGTAGTTCAGAACTTAATATTTTCAACATGTGCCACAGTCATGAGAAAAAGCAATTTCAAACAAATTGGACTTTTCAATCATTTTAGGTATCTAGATGAAATGAAGCTGTATTCAGTCAGCATTTTGTTCTCTCATATATATATTCCCATTTTGCTTTGCTGTATACAATTTTTTATTTTGAAATCTAAAGTAAGCTTCTAGAGGGCAAGAATAATTTCTGTTGAGTGTGTCATCTGTTTCTTGATACTTAAGATAGTGGATGTTTGTTTAGCCATGGCAGGTTGATTTACATAATTGTCTTCCCAGATGTCATCCACTTTAGCATAATCAGTTCTTTAATGATGCAACTAAAATAGATACGCCATTTTAAGATATAGTGGTGGTGCTTAATAATGATTAAGATTATTCCCTCCTCATAGCCATTTATTGCAGCTTCTAATATACTTTTTAGTATTCCTCAAATTATTGCAATGCCTGACATAAAACTATTTTTTAAAAATCACATTCTCTGTCATTATCCTTTGTTACTTCAGCACCACTAACATGACCTTTGGATATCGTCTCCTTTCCGTTTTTTCACATCTTCCAGTTTCAGTTTACTCTCCCATTTCCTCCTAAGTCTCTCACCAACATAGCCACATCCTGGACCAAGTCATTACATAAAACTACCTTGAGAAGCTTCAACTTATAACATCCTCTCTCTGACTACAAAGCCTCTTATGTTACTTGCTTTTGTAAATGATAAGTATTATTGAGCTTGGAATGTATTTCCTACGTAGTCTTCTAGACTTTCAACTTCGCTGCTGTCACTGCTTCTTGCTTCACCTTGTTGTCACAGCCACTGGATTTTTCTCAGTCATTAGTCAGAATTTTATACTGTTCTCACTTTGTTAAAATATTATCCTTTCCAGTCTTCAGTCTTCTGTTTTCCTGCCTCTACCTCCGAAGTTTTCATTTTATCAGTCCTTTGAATGTCTTATTGAAATTAGTATTTCTGTCCTCCTCCTCTTAATCCCTCTTTCAAAAGTCCATAATGCAAATGCTCTTTTTATCTAGGTTCTGTTGAAATAAAGGACTAGATATCGGGCTTGAATTTTTAATGAATGGATCCCTGCAGCACTCTACTTCCTTAATTCTCAGTAGGCTTTGGCACATATTGTCTTCCTTCTGTTTAAGTTCTTGTGCCTTATAAAAGTTGAGGGAAGGGGAAGGGCACCTTTGAAACTATACTCAAAATATAAATGAGGATATAGTTGCTATTAAAGTATGTATCATAGTTATTATGGGAGTCAAAATTGGTTATAAACCCTGGTATACTTAATTAGCTTTCAGAAACCTCTTAGGAGGTTTATTCTCAGGTTCACTGAAACCTGTAATAGCTTATATATCTTACTTTCTGGATTTTGAATATGGTTAAGGAATTGTGAGGTTTTTCTCTGTAAGGTAGAGTTCTACTTTGGGACAGCTGGATTAAAAAAAATTGGAAGCCTTTTTTTTTTTTTTTTTTTTTTTTCCTGTTGCTGGAGTCTAATAGTTTTTGAGAGATTAGTATACAAAATTGATTTTTAAAAGGTTTTTGCCTAGATGATGAAATACTGACCTGATTTTTATAAAGATTAATCATATCTCAGTATGTGGGGTAGAATAGCAAACACATTTGATATTTTTAAAAAGCTAGAGCCCAGGCAAGCCACATTACCACCAGCTTATGGGAGACATCAGGGCAGATTGCTGTAAAGCACATGCTCTGGGCTTATGCCCTGACCCCACCAGTTTCCAGCTTTATGAGGCCATGGGCCACTTTCTTGACCTCTGTCTTATATGTAAAATGGGAATACTATTCTTCACAGTGTTCCTGAGAGGATAAGCTAGTACATATAAAATATTTAGAAGAGTACCAGGTAGAGTGCACATTCAGTGAATGTTAATTGCCATTATTAATTACTATTCTCATTGTTGGTGCTAAAATCTCAGCCTGAATTATGCTACTGTGTAGTGTAGAATTCCCATTTCCTCTGTCCTTTATTGACATTTCTTAAAAATGTCCATTTAGGCTGGGGGCAGTGGCTCATGTCTGTAATCCCGGCACTTTGGGAGGCTGAGATGGGTGGATCATGAGGTCAGGAGCTCAAGACCATCCTGGCTAACACAGTGAAACCCCGTCTCTACTAAAAATGTAAAAAAATTAGCCGGGCGTGGTGGTGGGCCCCTGTAGTTCCAGCTACTTGGGAGGCTGAAGCAGGAGAATGGTGTGAACCCAGGAGACCGAACTTGCAGTGAGCCGAGATCATGCCACTGCACTCCAGCCTGGGCTACAGGGCGAGACTCCCTCTCAGAAAAAAAAAAAAAATGTCCATTTAGAAATCTTGAACCCATGTGTTTCTTTCATGGATGCTATTTACCATCAAAAAGAAGAAAATTCAAACTGAGATTATTTTTAAAATCAACTTGAAATGCTTGTATAATTAAACTAAGACTGAGGTCTTAGGAATGTTGAAAGTTTTTATACTATAATGCTGAATTGAATTTACCTCAGAAATCAACACATTTTCTGCCTTTAGAACTTACACATTTATCTTTGCTTCTCTCTGCCCTTCGAATATAGTCTCCAAAAACACTAAAATAAATAGCTTTGCTGAATAGATGCTATATGAATTTGTTTTTCTTTTTTGAGACGGAGTCTTGCTGTGTCACCAGGCTGGAGTGCTGTGCCTTGATCTCGGCACACTGCAACCTCCGCCTTCTGGGTTCAGGTGATTCTCCTGCCTCAGCCTCCCAAGTAGCTGAGCGTGAGCCACTGTGCCCAGCCTGTATGGTTTTTTGAGACTGTTTTGAGACTGTTAGTGCTTGAGAATTTCATTTTAAAAGCAAATTATAAGCATACCTTTCATGGAGTCTGATACAAGATCTGGGAGTCGGCCGGGCGTGGTGGCTCACGCCCGTAATCCCAGCACTTTGGGGAGGCCGAGGCGGGTGGATCACGAGATCAGGTGATCGAGACCATGCTGGCTAACACAGTGAAACCTTGTCTGTACTAAAAATACAAAAAATTATCTGGGCGTGGTGGCGGCGCCTGTAGTCCCAGCTACTCGGGAGGCTAAGGCGGGAGAATGGCATGAACCCAGGAGGCGGAGCTTGCAGTGAGCTGAGATCGCGCCACTGCACTCCAGCCTGGGCGACTGAGCAAGACACCATCTCAAAAAAAAAAAAAAAGATCTGGGACATTTGTGATTTTTTTTTTTTTCATGTTTTTCTTTTTGACTAACTAGTATCCAATTCTTTTTCTGATTTGGAGATTTTTAAACTGTGGGCACTCTTTACTGAGAGGAATGCAGAAACTGATAGCGTCACATCTTCCTTCCTTCTACTTATCGGCAGTTGGGGTAGCCTTGGTTTGTCTAATCATGCACTTCATTCTGTAAATGTAGAATTTTGAATACAAAAATCTTAGCTGTAGTAAGGAATCATTCATAGCAGCAGATTGTTGCTTCAGTGTGGGCGGTGGCCTGGTCATAAAGTTTCCTACTAAAAGACAGTTGTGCTTCCTACTCCTAGCTCTGTAGCTTCTTATGTGTTTCTAAGGTTGGTCCTCTACTCTCCTGTCATTTCAGTCTAAGATAGACAGTGGTTTCTGTTACTTGCAAATGACTATAATTGATAAAAGAGATCTTGAGAGGGTTGCTAAATTGAAGTTGCAGGATGGGGCTTCTAAATTGATAAATCTCTTGAATCTTTAAGTCTCACTGCCCTCACACAGTTTACATGTATACCACACCCCCATCTCTCCTTATTCCCTACAGTTCTCAAGGGTGAAGGAGACAGAGTATGTTCCCTTTGGAGGCCTCTTCTAGGTGCCTCTCATTAGGGAAGACACAGCTTGCTAGCATCCACAGCAAATCATTCTAAAGATACAAGAGATGTATGGTGTTCTAACGCATGTGGGATTCTCACTGTGGAATACCCCAACATCTAGACATGAAGCCCAGCAAACTGAGTGAAAAATGACAGCCCATCTCAGCCAGAAGGGATAATTAAGACAACAATCGGAATACATATCCAGGACTGCTAAAGGAGCCAGATAAATACCTAAATTAAAAAAATAATATCTTTCAGGGAAATTAAAGTATAAAGTGGGGAAGATATTTCCTGGGGCCAAAACTCAAAACCAAAACAACAAAAAAAATCCACCACCTATTTTTTTTTTCAGAGGAAAGAATTTAGTAGATGAATTAAAGACCATGTTAGTAACCTGGAAGCTTAAGTGTGAGATGTACAGAGAAAAATGTTAAAACATGGAAATCATGAAGAAAAAGGTAAATAAATCTAGGAATGTCAAGGTTATTTTAAACCTTACACATGATATGAGTTTCAGAGGCAAAGAAAAAAGAAAAAAAGTCTGATGGAAGAGATCAGTAATAATTAAACAAATGATAAGCAAGAAAAACCTATCTTGAGATTGAAAAGGCTTAAGGAGCTCCACATGAGATTGATGAGAAAAGATAAACTGAGTAAGATATGTATTGCACTTTTCCAGAAAGAAGGAATAAGTTGCCTACAGAGGGA